TCAGTCAAAGAGCATTTTCCAGCACTACAGGTATAGCCTGAGCTGCAAAAATTCAGTGCTACCACAAAGATATGTTGCACAAAAGAGTGCAAATCAAGAAAGCGACTCACCCTGTCAGTGTTGAATCAAACAATCTGTCTTAAAAGTAAAACTTTAAACTATAAGAAACATTTTTAAGTCTGTTTCTGGGGGGGATAAAAGTAGACACTTTGGAGAATTTATGAAAGCAGTTAAAATCAATAAATAAAACAGCAAAACAATGGTACTTTGTCACTCAATGACCGCAAAGTAGTGCTTATCAAATAGTTGTAGTTTTATATCTGTTGCAAGCAAAGGCAAAAACACTGGTTTGTTTTATCTACACCAACAGGAGGCTTTTGCTGTCTTTTGCTTAAATCAATGCATTTGTAATACGTTTGGTTTTGAAGTAATTGTCAGAGTTCAACACCAGATTGAAAACCTAACCACAGGCCAGGGAAATGTATATGACATTTTACAGATTAAATTTATAAACAACAAAATCAGTGTTACATTCAGTAGGCAGCTAAACGAACGATGACAATAATAATGTTATGGCTAAATTCCATTCATCTTCTAAACCCAGGTATCATGTATGCTGGCTCACTGTCACACTGTTAAGGAAAACTGGGACACTTGTAAAATAGATGGAGCCATAATTAATGTTATTAGTGACACCTGAGGGTTTTTTTTTTCCACTGTGACGGTATAAAAATCAGATGTGAAAAAGGTTGCAGCACCTATGAAATGCATTCGATATACATGTACCTATACAGACTTTAAATAGAATGAGAAAAATCCTTGAGTTAAGGATTGAAGGTGTATCATGGGAAAGGGCAGTTATCAGCTCCCATCTGGCTGCTGGCTACAGGTTCATCTGCACTGTCAGAGATTCCTTTGGCATTAGTAAAGCCCTGGGAATCATGATGCAAGAAAAGAGTGATCCACTAATGACAGCACAGGACGCAGGGCTCAGACACAGATTTGACCGAAGGGCGTGCAAAACAAGGCGTGTGTGTGTGTGATTGTGTATGCGAGTGAGAGACAGAATAACTAAAGACAGAAGTCCCCAGACAGCAGACCCTCCCAACCAAACCCAATCTCTCCTCACAATCCTGCCTCCACCTACACTCCCTCTAACTGTGTTTACCCTGTGTGAGCTGATGGGGGGATAAAAGGAGAGATATCCCAGGGTCACTGTAAACAAAAGGGGAATTTATGTAATCTGAGGTTTATTGTCATGGGACAAGGTTTGACTGAGAAACAGCTGAGAGAAAGTTACTGTGAGTGTGAACCTTTTTTACAAATAAGGTATGATTAATCTTAATTAGACTATATGGGGTCTTATATTTAGCTCAAAATATGATACATTTTTTAATATGAATCAATGAACTAGGAATATTTTACAAATAATGCATGGTTTTAAACAAGAGGGAGCTTAAATATCAGGAAGCAAGCCATATAAATTCCTTTTTTGTTATGGGTGCAGACGGATGTTACTCTACTTTAAAAAAGAGTATATAACTTTCACTATGAAAACACAAAGTAGGCTAAGGGCTATAAGTTGAGCACACTTGGAACATGTTCTTCTCGTGTGGGGAAGTTGTTGTTTGCCTGTTCTGTACGAGAGGAACTGCACTTGTAGGTGGAAACAAATGTCGACTTGAAACAACATGTGAACACAACTCTTACCTGAAAAACGTGCTCCAGCCTTAAGGATAACAGCTGTGGCTCCTCCAGGTCACAACATAGTACAGCCGGAGAAAAATGACAGAGGGGGAAACGCGGAAAAAACGAGAGAAACGTCACTTCAGCGAACTTTTTTTTTTTTTTTTTTTTGAGGCGCTTTCACTTTCAGAGAGCCGAGTCTGGAGCGCGTGAAGTTGCCTCGCGCTCGCTAAAAGTTTTCTGGACTCTGACAGGCACGTTGTCTCCCTTATCCCCCCCTCCTCTGTTTGTTTTCTCTCCAGCTGGTTTGATTCAATACCTCCCCGGTGACATGACAGCTAGGTCAGTGTGAGTCGCTGCTGTCGGCGCCAACAGGTGAGACTGAAGTGAGGCCACGCGGAGGCGGGCGATGACGGAGGCGGGTATTGACAAATAATGTAGGCTGACTGTTTTGAAGGTATAGCCTACATTTCAAAGCACGAATAGCTACTAGTCGACTTCGCCATTGGTTTCTGCTCTGTGCTGACGGTGAGAGTCCCGTTCAAGTCCAGCACCGAAATGGGATTTCTATTCTGGGAACTGACGAGGCTTTTTCATTGTGGAGTGCTGAACCAAAGAGTCATCCAGGCATATTGCCAGTTCACTGTGAAGTTAGACCTCATAAATACTTTTCATGCAAGTCTCCCAGGGGAAAACTTTAATATTATAAATGTACAAGAGGAGACTGTAGAGTGTAGACCACTGATCAAAATAGAGTGCAAATTGCATTTATTCCAAGTTGAAAAGGTTTTTTTCCACTTACGCTTTACCAGCTTATGGCTGCAGCTTGATTGCACCATGTATGAATTCATGTTGAGTACAAACCTCGTTTGTGGGTTTTTATACTTCCATGAGGGGAAGTGTATGCACATTGAACATTATTGAGGAAAAGTTAAGTTATTGATCGAGACCATGACCTCATTAGGGACATGAGGTATAAACTAAGTGATCAAGGGAAAAGCAGAATAGAATGAAGAAGTAGAATCTTCTTCCACCCCTGAAGTCGCCCCCCTGCTGGCCATTAAAAATAATGCATATTTTTGGGACATGCACATTATAGCTTCACTTTTCAGACCCCTTGGCTACGATCACTTCTTATATAAAGTCTGTGACATTTGCTCAGGTTGAGGGTTGGTTCAGCTACTCAGGGAGCTACAGGAGGTCACAGCACTGAGTGTACTAATAAGAATGGCAGAGCTACATTTAAGGCAGGCGTGTTATGTTGGGTATTAAGTTTGTCTTTTAGTAGCTGACAAATAAGAGAGGTGGTAGAGATGCTGTGGTGAGCTAAGGTTGAATCTTTTTAGAGTTTTTAGTGCTGGTAAATGTGATATTTGTATTTTTATTCTTTGTTAAGTCACTACAAGATGTGATAGATTCTTCAACAGCGTAAGTGCCTTATGGCTTGAACAGGAACTGAAACGCTTTTCTAAAACAAAGTGCAACATCAGAGAGATTGCAATCAAACTGTTGCAGTACATGTTCGTTCCTCATTCATTCATTTTATACTAAGGCCCTGTTCACAGCTGGCATAGTTCGTTTGCTTCATATTTCTACAGAGTTCAACAGGCCGTACAGAATAAGTAGTTATTAAAATATCATAAAACACTATCGGATATCCAATATCCTTCATGGCATTATGACTGAAATCTTTGAGAAATCCCATGACAGGGCGACTGAGACTGAGAGTATGTAAACTAACATATTTCTCAGAAAACGTATTATTGAGGACCCCAAACAGGGTGCGAGTCCCTTTACAGTGGTCTTACATTGATCCCAGTGGAGATTAAAATACCATAAAGTATTACACAGTCACTGTAAACATACCAGTGAGTACCTCTGTAATGTAAATTCCTGATGTTTGTGCTACTTTAAGAGCTTAAAATACCACACTTGTTATTGGAAGTTTTTCAATGACTTAAAGACAACTCTGACTCAGTCCTTAAACAGTTACACTTTCCTCAGGGTCTCATCTGCTCTGAGGGTTTTATCGCTCCGACTGGCCTCTTTACAGCTCCTTTCTGAATGAGCTGATAGTGTAATAGATTCTTTCCACTGACATGTGGCCGGTGTGACAGAGAATGGGCAGCAGGTTTTCAGTGTGGCACAGTGTAAGTGGGCTGAGGGGGAGACTGAAAGAGGCCGGGCAGATGGGTGACACAGACTGGGTGAAAGGACAGCTGGCACCTTCGCTTCCCGCCGGTAAAGGAAAAAAAAAAAAAAAGCCAACAAAGAAAGGGACTATTTTACGTAGAAACCTCTGTACCTCTAAAGCTACATATCTTCAGTTTGAGGACAACAGCAGCCACACGCCTCCTGTCTGGACGGAATAAAACAATGCAGGTGTCTGTTAGTGAGGAACATAAAGTGAGGCAGGAGCTGCCTCATAATGCTGTTTGTCTCAAGTGCTGACATGGACATCTGGTGGACGATGTGAATGTGTGCTATAATAGTATTATCTTACATGTGACCGTGCAACTCCCCCCACACACACACAAATAACCTTTTCTCTTACCTACACCTTTAACTTCACTTTCTTTATTACAGGACTTCTTTATTTCAAGTGTCTGTGCATCTTTTATAGAAAATAAAACCCTGCAGGCGAAAAACATGACAGATTTTCATACAAAGACCCACCAAGAAACAATAAATGCAGCTGGATCAGATTAAATACAGCAGGATGATAAACTGAGTAACAGGGCAATATAAGCTTTGTATTGAAGGGGATGCAAAGATCCAGCCCTTTTGACATGATCCTAACACTTTGGGGGGAGTTTACCTTTAAGTTTTTTAAGGACACGTTGCTCTTTTACGCACCCGCCGTATGAAATGTATTCGCAAAGGTTTTTTCTACTTTGTCAGTGTCATGATCCTAATACGCCACTCAGGGTTTCTGCAGATGAAATATACCAATCTGAGGCAACACTTATTACCAATGTTAAATTTGTGATCCTCACAGTAAAAAATATTTGTAGTTTCATGACTTGAAGTCAGGGATTAATGCTGTTAATACTGTGACTATTTTGTGACAAAGTAACCACATTAAATGTATTGTAGTCACATTTTGGACAATACATGGTTAGCTTTGGGAAATCAGTATCAGTGTAATCTTTCACATTCAATGATACATCCATGTTTGTTCATATGCATTTTTATCCATTCATATAATAAAACCGGAGAAACTTCCTAATAATGCAAAAACCTGGAATACATTATAAAACTAGTGAGTTGTCTGCTTTTGCATAATAGGCAATCATTAATTCAAGAGCTCTTGATTCATTCAAAAGTTTATTCATTACTCCTTTTGACATTTTCTAGTTAAACTTAAGCGATTTCATTTTGCGCCGCCGCCATCACAGTTTGATGACTCTCTCCATTGTTCAAAATCTTTACAGCAAAGGTAGAAATATGACAACTTTCAGACCATTACAAACTACATTTCCCATAATGAAAATAGAAAACGTACTTTTCTTAGATCTTCACACCTCCTGTTTGCAACTAAACATAAAGCTGTTTATTGTCAGTGGAATTCCCTTTTTCATAACTGTAGTTTAAAAATAAAATCTGCATGATTGGAAGTTTCATACAACGTAGTATCACATGTGCTTGTTTCCTGGGAAGAACCATGTGGTCGAGACTGACGCAGTCACTCCCAAACAAACCTGTTTTACCGGCTGATGAGCTGCTCAGTCAGGCTAAGAGCAGCACAGACAACACTTGAGAATCCAGCAACCAGCTTCACTAGAGGTGGAACAAAATATTGATTCAGCAATATATCGCTGACTCCTGTGATACAATTATTAAATCTCTGGTGTCAAATATATATTAATAGAAAAAAACATCTTGCGCTCTGAAGTCTTCCTTGCCATGTTGACTCACACCAGCACCACTTAATAACTCCACACGGTGGCGCTAATACCATGAATAAAGACAACGTAAATAAAGGTTTATTGGCTTAAGAAGAAAACCAAAGATGTCTAAATGCAAATGGAATGGTTTCATGTTCCTGCCATGCAAGAAAAAAAGGCTGTGGTTGGCAGGACGGGAAGTGGAGCAAGTGTATGTGTGTGTGTGAATGTGTGTGTCCTTGGCTAAAGGAGTCCGGAATCACTGGAAAGGCCATGTGGAAGAACTGAATTGTTCCAGTTAAGCATTCATGAATACTAAACCGAACCTTGAATGGAAGATTCCTTTTCCAAGCCCTCGTTGTTCTACGTTTCCTCCCCAATTCAGAAAAAAACTGCTGAATAAAGAATACTCTCATTTATATTTATTTAAAATACAAAATAAAGTTCATTTTTCTTAATTTACAGATCTTAAGCTCTCCTTTTCTGATTATTGAAAAAGAACTGATTGCATTTTGAATTTTGAGCAAGTTTACACACGGGTTGTTCTTTTTTGCAGCTCAACCAATGTAAGGAAATGTAAGTAAAGTAAGGAAAGAATCAGGGCTTCATGGTGAAGAGACTAAAACCCTTTTCACACATACGGAAATCTCCTGAAAAACTCCGGAGATTTGGCTACCCGGAGGTTCTTTAGGCTATGTATGAACGCAAACAGCCTCATTTTTCGCGCGGACTTTATCTAGATATTATCCGGAGTGCATATGTGAAAACGGCTCTAGACTGAAAAAGGTGCAGTTAAAGTTACAAGTTTCAAGTACTGCTCCAAGTTTGATCACACTGACGCATGTAGCTGCAGGCTAGATGCTGAGCCAACATCTATTACAATATAAATCTTTATATTTACATAAATACACAGATTAATGCACTAAATGGTTTTGATTAATCTTGATGGGAGGCTAACATGTAAACGTACGTGTTTCACTATAATGCAGTTGATGTGATTCTCCCTTCCTTTAGAGGGAAATTCAGACTTGATGGACTCCACAAACCAGATTGGCAGGCACTGAGATATCTGCAAAGGAAGAAGAGAAACAAACTGTTATCAGGGTAGACATGTAGTTAGGAGTAAAACAAATTCAATAGTCTTATTAAAACTTGAATGACATTTTCAGGCCTGGATTTCTGAAAACAGAGCAGGCGGAAGAGGTCATGAAATGAAGCTTTTGATACCTATTTTCTTCGGTTTGGGGAGATTCAGGTTGTCCATGATGTTCACAAACTCGTCCTGGCTCTTGGTCAAGCGTGGGTTAAACCTGCGCTCCTCACCGACTGTAGACGCCGTCTGACCTGATTAACGAGGACAGGCACAGACAATATGTCAAATATGGAAGTGTTCGTGGACACAAACTGCAGAGAAACCACATGTTGCTGACAGACATTTAGAACACTTTGTGATCATTTTAGATGATTAATCGTCTCACACACGTATCAGATGATAGAAATAAATCTGAATGTATCAAACTGAATCTCACATTAGACAGATTGTGGAAAGGCATTTCTTTTCATCCATCTTTACTTTATGTATCGTAAAACTTCTATTAATAGCCCAGGCTTTTATTTATTTCAGTCCATGAAATGACTCTGCTTTTATTTGGGACAGACGCCAATAAGAGACGGCTTTGAATTATTATCAAACAAAACATGTGCAAAGCACAGACGGGAAAGAGTATAAAACTGTTAAGTAACACCAGAAAGAATATTTACCTGTGTCCAAAACGAGGATATCAATAAACACGTGAAAAAATCACAAGATTGATCTTAGTTTATAAAACAGCATGCAAACCTGCTTCATGGCCTGAACACATACGAGCATTATTCTGTCTTTCTTTGACACATGTTGTAGTTCATCTTTGGTTTTTTTGTGTCGTGCTGCTTCTTCTTATTTCTGATCCACAAACTCTTTTGACACTTCCTGCAGAGGGCCCTCTGACTGAGACCAGCCTTTATTTTGTCAAAATGGGCAGCAACACCAGGCTGCTAAAAGGGACTGGGCCTTAAATTGTGATGGCGGGCCGCACCCCTAATATAATGGTAGGGGAAACACTGCACTTGTAATAACAATTTTATCATTAGGAATTGTTTGCTGAAGAAAGGGAGTTTTTTTTTTTTTTTTGGAAGATTTATTTTTGGGCTTTTTTTTTGCCTTTAATGGACGGATAGGACAGTGGATACAGTCTGAAATCAGGTAAAGAGAATGAGAGCGAGAGAGAGAGAGAGAGAGAGAGTGGGGAATGGCATGAAGGAAAGGAGCCAGAGGTCGGATTCAAACCCAACCGCCCACTTGGAGCACTACAATCTCCATACATGGGACGTACACACTAACCGCTACACCACTGCACCACCTTCACCCCGCAAAAAAAGAGCTTTTTAACACTTTACAGGCCCTTAAAGTTTGTATTCAACTTAGATTTTCCACCAGTCTCCCCATGAAATATGTGATAAGCATGCAGTGATGTGGATTTTTAGCTTACCTAAGTAGTCATGTGCCGGGTAGATGAGGCACTGGTCAGGCAGAGTAAAGATCTTCTGATGGACTGACTGATAGAGCTTCTTAGGGCAGCCTGAATTAGAAAGACAACTATTAGAAGGTTAGATAAGTCCAAAGGTAAACAAATGATTACTGCCCCCCTGTGTTCCTCTAGCAGCATTACCAAAATAAAGATTTTTTTTGTTTTGTCATGCAGCCTTTTTGGAAATAAAATGACTGAAACACAAAGCCTTTTATGTCAGATTATTAATGTGTCAAGTGTAACTCTACCCTGCTGGAAGTCCGTCCTGCCACAGCCTCTGATGAGCAGAGCGTCTCCAGTAAAAGCCATGCTCTGATCATCTGTAACCAGCGACACACACCCATCAGTGTGTCCAGGCGTCTCTCTCACCGTCAGATGCTAAAGGGGAGAAAAGACGAAAGTCAAATCTCGGCATGAAACGGTTTTTTTTATGAAGCAGTTTTAACAACAAAGTTTCAGTCAAACAGATAAAATGATCCAGAATAAAAAATAACTACAATTCTAACTTGGTTAAAAATTGCATCTAAGCCCGATTGCAGCTTACATTTTGACGCAGTGATACATTCATACACTAAGAATGGGATTTGGGATTTAATTTAGACAGTGAATTAAGTTATATGTTCTTCTCACATGTTTCCCAAAGGGGAGCTCGTCGCCCTCTGACAGGAGGATGTCTGCAGTGGCGCCGCTGAATTTAGAGATTGCACTCTTCAGCCCAAGCAATCTTTTCTTCATCAGCCCCGTGCTTGTGATGTGGTCAGCGTGGCAGTGGGTGTTTACTGTCAGAATACACAAGATAGCCTTATTGTCCACAATGGGAAATATTAATGTTCACAGATTCAGAATCAGATAAGTTCCACTGGGAGTCAAACATCAAACAGAGAATATATACAGGGTACGGATGAATGGATGTCGAGGCTGGATCTCTACGTCTGTGTTAGTGAGCTGGTTTATTAAGTGCTGTGAATGCAGAGGGGAGAAAACAGTTTGATAACAACTTCATAAAAGTTAATCTACAAAATGTTATTTTCCAAATTGATGAATTAGGCATACTCTGGAAAATGGCTCATGATTCAAAGTAAAGGTTTTGTTTTGAGATGTTTTCAAGTTTGGACTGTTTTAATGGATATAAGTGGAATCCAGGTAAGTGTGTTGAGCTATGGTTTCATCACGCATACTTCAAATTTGTAATAACAATATTGTCATGATGCTTTAAATATTTGATGTCAGCTAGAAAACTCATTCTAGCGTGTACATGTGTCTATCAGCATAACTTATTGTAACTAAGTCCCTTCATGATCTTAAAATGGTTAGGTGTGATATTAGCAAACAGCATATGGAACTGGCAGCATTTTCAAAAGTTTTACTCTGAAATAATTATGAATATTGACCAAAATAGAAAACTAATATTGCAACCATATTATTTGCCAGAACACTCAGACGTTGGAGTACACAGATCTATGTTTTCTGACTTCATGGAGACACCACAATATATATCTTATGCCCATCCATGAGAAGCAATACCTGCCACTTTTACATGGAGCCCCAGTTCATGTATGAGCTTCAGGTCCCTGTCAATGGTCTCCAGTACAGGATCGATGAGGATCGCCTCCTTGCTGTCCGTGTCTGCCAGCAGGTAGGTGTAGGTGCTGCTCTCCTTCTCAAACAGCTGAACAAAAAGGACAGGCGAGGAGTGACTCAGCTGTACCGTGCAAAGCAAAGCAACAGGTGGTGGCTTATAACATCGTAAAAGAACACAAGAAATGTGCTTTTTCTGTGACGATATAAAAGTACCTTCTGACCTTCATCAGTCAGAAGAGTACAGGGACTTATAATCTTCGATCTCGGGACCTTTTTCTTCCTGTCTGTTCCAAAAGTCAGAACTGAACTGGGGGGGGGGGGGGAGGCGTTTCAGTTTGCTGCTCCCTTTACTTGGAACGAATTACAAAAAGAGCTGAAACTTAACAAGCTTCTCTCATTGGACGCTTTCAAGAGGCAGACACACCTGGCTGTAGATGTTCTACCTGATGTGTTTGTGGATTGATTTTGACAAACATTTGCCGTTCAGATTTGTTATTTGTGTCTTTTAAGGCCTAATGATGTATTTTTTTTTTTGTATTTGTACATTTGTCTGCCTCGTTGTTTGTGTGAAACTCTGTTAATTGTGCGGCCAGGACACTCTGGAAAAATAGATTTTTAATTTTCAATGAATTTTCTTTCCTGGTTAAATAAATAAATAAAAAGACTTGCAAGCATGAAAATGTAACCTAGATATTAAATAATTAAAATACTTTGATAAAGATGAAAGCTGCTAAAAGAGGTTGTTTTTGTGGGGACTGTTCTTTCCAAGGTCAGGTCAATAATAATAATAATAAAAAGACATAAAACATTGCTCCTCCTGGACAAGAGGCATCCTTCTGACCACATATGTCTTCTTAAAGAATCTATCTGGCTAAATATGTAATCCACAGATCCTGTCATATAGTTGTGCTCATTTCAAATAACTACACATTAATACACAAAGATAACTGAGCTGACTCCATCTCACCTGTCTGAACTAATTCACTTCCTGCTAATGCTAAGGTTAGCTTATGCTACCTGCTACCAAAATATTTACACACTTTACTGCTTTTTCTGTTTTCTTTAAAAGTAACGAATTGAACTAAAATGCGGTGGGAAAACATTAAAGTATATTAACGTACTTGTCTGAAGAAGAGCCCTTCCTTAAGCGCCATCCTGGAGCAGTACGATCTCCTCGGAGCTCGCACCGGGCCAAAGTCATAACTTACGCCGGGGCAGAGGCGCCTGCTCTCGGCTGCTGCGTAACTCCAACCCTCGGTGTTTGGTCGGAGGCGGAGCGTGAGAGCCAGAGCCCGGTGAAGCGCTGTCACCCTGCTTAGTGTTATCACCGAGCTCATTGTCGTTCCTCGGTGCTATCCTAGCCGTCCTAGCGGATCTTAACCGGGACAAATGTGACGATAATGAGCAGTTAATGCCTTCCGGGTTGTATTGGAGTAAAAAAAAATTGTGCAGCCTCGTTTTGCTGGAGCCTCTGCAGGACAATAACACACTACTTAAGAAGACCCACAGCTCCGAGTCGTCTGACAGCTTTCTTTAGATGAACTCAGAGATAAAAAAGTTACGTGTGCAATAATCAGTGTTTGTTAATGAGCAACCAAACGTGGGTTAATCCCACTTTTCGCCCTCTACAGTGAGGCAGGTCAACTTCCTCCACACTCACGTCTCTGCAGGTCAGCATACTGCAGCACTGACATGCAGGAAGTGCACACTGCATTCACAACAGTGGTGTCTGACTGCACTTGAACTACGTGACTGTTGTCATGTAGCCTATTCTACTTTGTGAAGTCACAGACTAGCCAGGTGATGCCAGGTGACTGCTGCCACATACAAATGTTACCAAATGTTACTACAATAACAAATAGCCACACTACTAACAAATAAAATCCCTAAAACCATAAAGTTTTACATTGAATAACTTCCACTCAAATTTCACCCATAGTGTGAACCACGTCAATTACTGGTTCTTTTTGTTCATTAAAAGCAGGGCTTTTGATGGGATGCTTTATAAGCCTAATATGACGTCGTAATGATTTTTGTTTAATTGTTAACAAACAAGCAGAGACAAGTTTTGCTTCTTAATTGTTTATTAAGGTTCAGGTCTTAGCGTGTCAGACATCGCTGTGGTGGTCTCCTCCAGCTCCTCTGGTTTCCCCTACACCAAAATAGAGAAAGGAAAACACAAGCTGCATGAATATGTAGTATACAGCGTGAAATGTGCTGTTTTTGTGAAGTGCGTTTGCCTTTAAATTAATGTAAACAGGGGCTCTATCTGCATCTTACTTATCATCTTTTGTTGCTACTGTTTATTCATTTGAGTCCCCGTTGTTCGTACTTAGTCAACTTTAAAGTTATAGCCTTCTGAAAGTTTATTAAAATAAGTCGAAACTGTTGTTGGTATAACTGAGATGAAACACTTGATACGGGGATAGAGCAAATGAAATAAACTTCCACAATTTGTTAAAAAAATATTGTGTTTGTACTTCAACCCCAGACGTTATGAGACCTGTAGATTTATCTGTATAGCTTGCTTTGTGGCAGAAAGTCAAATTGCTCTCCCTGGCTTACAATAAAAACAATGCATTTTTGGAACAGCTAATAAATCCCCCAGGTCTGATATCAATTCAAAACAGTCTTATCTATTTGACACAGCTCTAACTAAATTATATAATCGTGTAGCTTGCTGACTCTGACAACAAAACATCCAACAACAATAAAAGGCATATAGGGACAGAGAGGTACCTCTGTATATTTTTGGACCCAGTGAATCAGTTTGGTCACTCTGCTGTAGACGCCAGGTTTACTGCGTCGGCCGCAGCCCTCTCCCCAGCTCACCACGCCGGCCAGCCGCCAGTCCCCATCGGATGTCTCACACACCAGGGGTCCACCACTGTCCCCCTTAAAAAAAGACCCCAAAAAAATGCAAACATTACAGACCAAACATTTGCACGTTCAGTGGTGGCAGAGATCTGGTGATGAGTTGTACATTTTTAAAAGGTTCTTTATTAGGTGGGTTTATATGGAGTTTTTATGTGTTTACCTGACAGGAGTCCACTCCTCCGTCCATGGATCCAGCACAGATCATACGAGGTGTGAGAAACGAGCCGTACACACTCGAGTGGGAGCAGTCAGATTGAGCGATTAACTTGACCTGAGCCTGTCTCAGCTCATCTGTCACAAAGCCTGACAGAAAAGAAAGAGTTAAAGAAAAATATATGGTAAAAAAGGGGGTTTATGAAAAAAAAAATTTTTTTCGAAAGCATCTACAATATTTATCCTGTACCATGATTCTGCTTGTGGAGCTTATTAGATAAATGCCGAGACTTTTTAGGTCAGGTAGAATCCGTTATATCTGAACCACTTTGTTTGCCCGCTTCGATCACTGCATCTTCTATTGGTTTGTCGTTTTGCAAACTGAGGGGTGCCTTAAACCGCCTACCTTCTCTGGTCCAAACAAACACAGAGCATTCAGGACCAGAATCTAAACCCAGAAGAGGACATACTGGCTGCTGCGTTGTTGTCAGAGAAGCCAGCACTTCAACATAGCACATTTCCTTAATGTCTGATCATATAGTAAAGTAATTTATGATTTAATTCAGTAGATATCTTACACATTGGACTTTCAATTATTGATTTTCATTAATTTCATAATAAGGGACGTGGCTGATCTGACTGGTGGAAACGTTGTAGCTGTTTTAGAGGAGGCTTAAGGCCCGCCTCCACTTCAGCGCTCTGCCTGTTACTAGGTTTACAGAAAGACAGAATCTCCAATATGGTGAAGGCCATCGACAAGCTCTAAAAGCTGGCTTCAGAAACCAATGGATGACATCACTGAGACTAGGTCCATACAGTGTAAATGGCTGTGATCAAACTACTTCTGAAACCTCAAAAAGGTTGGGTCAGCTCTAACAACCACAGGATGTGGGATTATTTTAGAATTTAAATTGATAAGAGTGAGTTATCAAATGAAAAGGGACCACATGAAGGGATAAAGAAGAAAAACGAGCATTAAAAAAAGCACCATGTGTCAGTGTATCACACCTCCTTCACGAATGTATCCCCAGCCTGTGATCCAGCAGGCCGATCCAGGAAGAAAAGACTCACTCGGGCTGGGTAAACAGACCGGTCGCACCCTGCCTACAAACAGAGGGCAGTGATCAGTGACACACAATGTTACATTTACAGGAGATATAAAGACATTAAGGTTGTCAAACAAGTGACGGTTATAACTTATAAAACACATGTTGTCAGCTTTTCCAGTGCCAAGTTCCTCCATAGACGTATAAAATCCCCGTTTAACTTTTGCTTCCATTGCAAGAAAGTCACATTTTTAAATCAGATTTTGACATTTTGTTTTTAACTCTGAGTATTTTAACTTGGCTTTTAAAAGTGCATAACAGACTGTTTAAACTGTATGTGTTGCAGCACTTTCACGATTAACACATCGTACAAGTACAAAAGCATTCTCGAATATCAGGCTTTAAAAAATGTTTTTTTCATCAAGGAACTTCCAAAGGACCTTGTGTTCCCCACTAGTCCATTATGTTTCTATTTTTTGTCAAACTAATGGAACTACACTCGGGAAAAATAGTCATGTACTGTAAACCCATGCTATAACTATCCCTAAACTTTCCCCAGCAAGCCAAAAGGGAATTAGATATGTTCAAACTTTCCTGTGGTGGAAACTATCCTGATACAGTATAAAGAAAAAAAAACTGGCTGCTTACTCGGCATGTGCTGCCTGCAGGTACCTGGTGAGGCATTTGTTGACCCACATTGTGTTTTAGTAGTGACAGTTCTAGTCAGAGTAGTTAATATTTTACAAGAAAGTCTGACTTTATTGTGCTCAAATGAACTTTAACTGAAAACACTGAGCACATTCAACACATTGATAAGTGCGTTGGCTTTTATAGTTTGAGTTTGTAACCCATTATGCTGATTGCTATTTCTTTAAATCAGTCAATTATTGTAGTGCTCTTATCTGAATAATGGATTGACGCTGTTACAGTGTTAACCATGTAAGGCTTGCAAATAATTGAATATCTGATAGTGTTCCGGCCGCAGCTGTGCCCTCTCATCTGTGTTTGTATGATACGTCTCTTTTTGGAAGTTCTGTGTGTGTCTCCACCTAAGAGGCCTGATTGGTGGGCATGCTTTCCAAACTGAGCAACCTATAAGAGGAGGGCGCCACCGCCATCACAGCCTTAAGAAGGCTGCCGGTGCCGTTGAGAGAAGCTCAGGACCGAGATTTTTGTCAGTGTCTCACAAAGATTATGTGGAGGCCATCGTTTTGATCGAGACTGGGCCTTTCCAGACTTTCTTTCTTTGTTAAGATACACTAGGTTAGGGGTGCTGTTTCAAAGTTGTTGTTTGATTTGGATAGAGTTAAAGCAGCAAGTTTCTTTTTTTTCATTCACAAGTTTAGTTATTCCTAAAACTCTAACTTAGAGTCCTCTTTTTGTTTTCTTTATTAATTGATTGAAAAGCACTCGTTGGCCCTTTTAGTTTGCCTATTGTTTCACTATTTTACGTCCTTGTTAATAAATGACTTTATTTTACCAAGAACAACTGGTTTTATGTTACTCTTTTCCTAAACAAGCTGGGTCATAACAAATAGTTTAAACACATTTTTTAAACACAAATTCAGTACCTTCTCAGTAAATGTTTTGCCAAATTTATAGTCGTTGTTTATCATTAGGTAAAAGGCATTACGTCTACGGTATTTATGAAGCGTAAGAAGGTCCATGAGGAGCCACCTCCTCCTACCTGTCATGTCCATGTCAGTGATGGTGCGCAGCAGTCCCACATCATAGTCGTTGTTGAATGTGTTGAATCGAGGGTGGTGGAGGACCTGCAGTGCTCTGTAACGTTTCCCCAGCGAGTTGTCTGCGATGCTGACGGTGTCCACCACCACCAGCCAGTCAGACACCTCCAGCATGTTGTTCCTGCACAAACAGCAGTGACACAGAGTTTGAGTTGAGGGGCCGCGCAGCGTGCACGCATCAACGCCTTTCTTTAGATTACTGCAACACACTGTGGACTATGCTGATGTTGTTTTTAATCCGGGTGGCACAGTGATCTAATGTGGGTCACTTTAATCTAGCAAATCAGTGTGGTAATGGCTTAATTTACTTAAATTAACACGTTAAAATGTAAAACACATATGCACATCTTTCCTCTGTAGAGGATAAGCCCAAAAAACTGCGATGTAACCAGACTTTCTGCCTACCAAGCCCATACTGTTGAGTCCCTGCTTCAGATCTATATCATAACATTAAAGAAAAGAAGTGTTGTTTACAGCCCGGAAGAGTGAAAGGTTTTCAAAAACTGAGCGTTAAAACTGTGTAACAAGTTCAAAAGCAGAACAAAATGACCCTCGTAAATCTTAAACCTGATATTCTATAACAGTGAGACTCAACCCGAGGCTCTCGAGGCTCATTTGGGACTAGTTGTGGCTCCTTTAGGTCCAATTTGGAGAAAAAAATCTGTCGGCCTTTAAGTAATTATTTAAAAAAGGGAAACATTGTCTGCAGAAATGGTTCTTTGCATGTCATGTCTGTGTTTCCCACATATTTTAGGAAAGAAAGAGGTTTTTTGATTGTGGCTGTTGCAGAAAATATTTTTTGGTCAATGTGGCTTTGAAGTCTAACAAGGCTGAGTACCACTGTTCTATTATAATACTTCAAC